CCGTTTGAGGGTGGTGAGGCACGTGCACAGGTTGCCCAGAGAAGCTGTGGCGGCTCCGTCCCTGGGAGTGTTCCAAGCCAGGTTGGATGGAGCTCTGAGCAACTTGGTCTAGGGGAAGGTGTCCCTGCTCATGGCAGGGGTTTGGAATGGTATGAGCGTTAAGGTCCTCCCAGCCAAACCATTCCATGATTCCATGACTTGATGAAGTCCTGTTGAACACCAAGCCACCACCTTCCATCCAACACAGCACAGGCAGTGCTGGGGCTAGAAAACAGGGCAGTTGTGTCCTCCCATGTGCATTCCCTATCCTGGGTGTGCAATCCTTGTGCCAGGTGGATGGTGACATTGGGCAGGGAGAGGCTGTGTGGGTCCCATGTGTCTCTGGGGGAACTCTCAGCTTTGATTTGAGTTTCCCTGGAGTTTTTCTTGACTTGAAAAAAGACTGTACCCATGAACCAGCTAAACCTCGGGATTTTCCTGTGGGGCAGCTTGCAGGATTTAACCATTTACAACCCCGAGAGGACCATCACGGTGAAGGGCAGCATGGAGGCCTGTGCCAATGCTGAGGTGGAGATCATGAAGAAACTGCGAGAGGCCTATGAGAACGATGTGGTGGCTGTCAATGTAAGCTCCAGCCCTCCCACCTGGGCTGCCCCTCCATCAGGGACACCACTGAGGTGGCCAGAAGAAAACGGGGGGGGTGGATCAATATGTTATGGCAGGGGTTGACCCTCGCTCATCACATGCACACTGTGGTGAGAAGCCCAAAACCCCAACTCTCACACCTTCTTTGTGTCTCTGTTTTCCCAGCAACAAGCCAACCTGATCCCAGGACTGAACCTTAGTGCTTTGGGCATCTCCACGGGGCTGTCCGTGCTCCCATCCACCCCAGGGGCCCGAGGGGCTGCAGCAGCCACCCCATACCATCCCTTTGCAGTAAGTGTGAGAGGTTTTGAGGGTTGGGGGAATATGTTCCTGAGGCCAGAGCGGTCTCTGAAGTGTCCTGCTGTGGTTGTTGGGTTTGGGTGGTCACCATAGCTATAGGAGCCATCTCATGGGGGGAGCCTTGAATGGGAGCTCTTACTCCTTGCTGTTTGGAAGGGTATTTGTCACAGCAGTGAAGGGGGGAGGACAGTGGATGAAGGTGGTTTGTCCCTCCTTGGATTCAGCTGCCCAGGAAGATTAGTTGCATCCCTGTGTTGTGCTGAGCTTGGTTTCGCCTGTCTTTAAGGACTGGCCATGTCCCAAAGGTGCTGCTCTCCAAAGAGAGCATGGAAAAACCATGTAGGTGGTCTTCTGTCCTGAAAACTGGGTTGTGCTCTGCAGGGCTGGTCTCAGTGGCCACCTGAGCCCCCCAGCGTGGCCACAGGGCAGGCAAGGGGGCAAGGAGCCCACCCTGTGCATGCACTGCCATGAGCTTGGATCCCTGCCCTGGCACACAAGGAGTCAATCCTCACCCCACCTCATGGGAAGGGTTTTTTTTTCTTCTTCTTAGGGTGCTGAAACCTGGGGAAGGATTTTCTAAACCCCTGAGGTCACATGTGGGCAGGGGTGGTCCAGTGTAGAACACACTGGCGAAAATGCTGCTGGAGAAGGTCCAGCCCAGCAGCACCTGCAGAACCCCTTGGGTCACCCAGACTGTTTTTGTTAGTCTCTAACTGATTGATCTGAGATGTGGGTTAATTCCTTGTGCTGTGTTCTTTCCCTGCTGATGGCAGCAGCAGAGTGGGCGGAGGAGAACGGTGAGTGTCAGGCTGGAGGGGAGGAGGAGTGTGTGGAGGGTGTGTGGTGGCCCTGGAGGCACCAAGAGGGTTGGTTGGTCTGGCTGTTTGCTGTCCCCCCACGAGAGGAGCAGGACGGGTCTCCTGAAGGGTAGTGGCACAGTGGGCTCCTTCACCCCCAAGTATGTCCTATTTCAGGTCCCCCTGATGAAGCCACTTCGAAGCTCTAGAGACATAGCAAGGATGGAGGATGAGGAAGGAGCCTCAGAGTGAACAGGGGGAGCTGGGGAGAAAAGATGCCCACCCCAGCTGGGTGGGAGAGGACTTGGTGTATGAGACATGGAACAGAAGGTGTGAGGAAGAGTACAAAACCTCAGCACCATGGGTTTAATAGAGGTCTGGGAGCGAGAGCAGAGAGCATCTAGTTGAACCTGCCCAGATCCAGAGTGGGAGAGAGTTGTGACTGCTGCCAGGAGAAATGTCTGATGGATTTGAGACAGAAGAGTTTAAGAGAAGCTGGGTTGGGTTGAGTTGGGTTGGGACTGGTACCTTGGGGATGTCACTGACCCTCATTTTCTCTCCCACCATAGGGCTCCTCAACCTATCTATCAGGTCTGTACGGATCCCCCCTGGCTGGCGCCTTCCCCCACCAACACTCCGTGAGTGTCCCAGCACCTCCCTCCATGAGGGCTTCACTTGGGCACCTCTCAGGGCGAGGGGACAGGTGGCCAGGGGAGGCAGAAAGCAAGGGGTGTGAGGCAGAACCCCAACCCCACTCACCCCAACCCAACCCCACTCAACCCAACCCAACTAAACTGCACCTCCTCTTCAAGCCTGGGATGCTGGCAGGGTGAAGCTGCCTCCTGACCCTCTTACTCTTCCATACCTCTTCTAGCTGCTGGAGCAGGAGGTTGTGAACTTGTTCATCCCCACACAGGCGGTGGGGGCCATCATCGGGAAGAAGGGGCAGCACATCAAGCAGCTGGCACGGTTTGCTGGTGCCTCCATCAAGGTGAGCAGGACTGAGAGCATGGTCCAGGGCTTTATGCCTCAGTTTCCCCTTCCTACTGCTCAGGATAGTGAATGGGAGCCCTTTGGAAGTGGTTTTGCTCCCTAAATGAGTAGAAACACAGTCCTGGAGCATCCTGGTTTTCTCCCCTGAGGATGTCCCTGCATGGGGGATGTCCCTGCATAGGTGGACATCCCACACAGGAAGGTCTTGCCCCAGGAGGGTCACTCTGACACTCCTTCTCCCCTCCCGCTGCAGATCGCCCCAGCAGAAGGTCCTGATGCCAGCGAGCGGATGGTCATCATCACCGGGCCACCCGAGGCCCAGTTCAAGGTGTGCTGGTCACAGGGTGGGGGCTGACTTGGGGACATGGTCAGGGACAAGGCGAGAGTCCGCACTGTGCTGCCACTTCTGAGTCCCAAGAGGGCTCTTAGCTTGAGACCACAATGCGAATGGTGGTGGACATTATCACCCGTGGGGATGGAGGACACAGCAGGCACCACTGGCTTTACTTCCCTTGTGTCCCTTCTCTAGGCTCAGGGGCGAATATTTGGGAAGCTGAAAGAGGAAAACTTCTTCAGCCCCAAAGAAGAAGTGAAGCTCGAAGCCCACATCAAGGTGCCTTCCTTCGCCGCCGGCCGTGTCATTGGCAAGGGTGGCAAGACGGTAGGTGTGGGGTGCAGGGTGCTCCCACCTGCCCCAGGAAGACAGAGTTGGGCATCTTCCATCACCTCTGTGCAGATGCTCCATGATCACAGAGACATCTCAGTCCTAGCCCTGTGTCCTGAGGGTGGCTCTGGGGTGGTGACTGTCCCAAGGTGTGACCCACAGCAGCCTGGTGCCACATGCTGGCTCAGAGCTGGGGGTAACACCAGCAGTGGAGGATTTTGGCTCTTTCACAGCCGAACTTGAATATGTCCTTTGCTCCAGGTGAACGAACTGCAGAATTTAACAAGTGCAGAAGTCATTGTGCCACGAGACCAAACCCCAGACGAGAACGAGGAGGTCATTGTAAAAATCATTGGGCATTTCTTTGCCAGTCAGGTAAGGTTTGGACATGTAGCCATGGCTTTTCTGGCATTCCCAGCAAGCCTAAGAAAACGCACCCAGCACCTCATTCCCAGAGCATCCTGCTGCTGTTTGGGGTGGTTTCTGTGTACCCTTTGGGAAGTTGGCAGTGTTGAAATAAGGATTGGCTCGATCTAGTTCTTGGGCACAGGATGAGAATTGGTTCCCACATTCTACCTGGCTGTATATACCGCAGCCTTGGCTGCTGGGGGGGCTGGGAACACCCCAAAATCAAGGCTCTGGAGGAGCAATGGAAGAACAAACTAGCCCCCTGTTTTGGCACCTCCTTCATTACAGCTGTGCCAGTCCTGGCATTACAGGCTGGAGGGTCACGATGCTGTTGCGGCTCAGGGGGACACAGTGGCTGGTGTTTCCTCCCTGACCCCCATTTCTCCCCCCCTCTCCAGACTGCCCAGCGCAAGATCAGGGACATTGTGCAGCAGGTGAAGCAGCAGGAGCACAAACAGGCTCAGGGAGCCGTGGCCTCGCAGCACAGCAAGTGAAGCTCCCGCCCAGCACCACGATGAATGTAACCCCTGACAGCGCTGGACCCACAGGGCAGGGCACACCAAAGACCCCCAGCCCCTGCCCCCAGGGCACAGGGAGGGCTCTGTCCTCCCTGCAGCCTCTGCCTTACTCCACAGCCTCCCCCACCCCTGTAGCTGGACTAACCGAGGCAGAGAGAGGTGATTTCTAGTTTGGCATTGCCCCAAACCCTCCCATTTCGCCCCAGAGGAGCTCACCCAGCCTGGGGGCGGACCTTGGCCACAGCGCTGGCTCAGTTTAGAATGAATATATCCATAACAAACTAATACTGATTTTTAAGTTTTGTAAGATTTTTATTTTTTAAGCCATTTTTTTAATTGTTCTCCAAGGGGAGGGGCTGTTGTTTGTAGCTAAAGCAGCTTTGGTAGAGGTTTGAAAGGGCAGGAGCTGGACCATTGGGTCTGTAATGCACCGTAGAGCAGAGCTGTAGAATTGCCTGCAGGGAAATAAGTATTAAAAAGCGATTTCTGAAGGGCTTTGAGAAGAGCAGGCCGTGGAGGAGCCAACAGAGGGACTCCTACAAGAGGGATCTCCTTCAGTCCCCTCTTTGCTTCACAAAGTGGGACTTGCACCCATTCTGACCCCCCTTTCTGTCTGTCTCTCTCTCCATCCCTGCCCAGCACTAACATCCCTGAAAAATGATGGGTAGCACCAGCCCTGGCTGCTTTGAGCTGGGATCTTTGGTGGCAGGGAGAGGAGGTGGGAAAAAAAGGGATTTACAAGAGATTGTCAGCCCAGGGCTGTTAAAAAAAAAACCAGCAAAATTGGTTGCAAAGGAAAAATAATCCCCAAACTCCCTGACACACACACATGGAGAAACTACCTCAGGATTTTGTACCTCAGCACCTTGCGCTTGTGTTGCCCTTGCAGAGATTTTTGTATGCCTTGTAAAACTGATAGTTGGAGCATTTTTTTTTATTTTTGTAATAAAAAAACGAGTTGGAAATGTGATCTCGACCAAGTGAGCTGCGAGGTGGGAGCAGCAGTTCAGCCCCTGTGTCCCATAGCTCCTCCCAAGTCTCCTGCGAGCTCAGAGCCAGTGGCTGCTCCTTCGGAGGAAGCTTATGGAATGGTTCAAAAGGAAAAATAAAAAGGATAAAACAGCCAAACATAAAGCAAAAGGGTTTAAGCAAACAGCAGGGAGGCTGGAAGCAGTGAAAGCTGCGGGGCACGAGCAGGGGTGGGAGCTGAGGTGCCAGTTCCAGCACTGATCCCAGGGGCTGCGGATCCACCTTCTCTTCTACTGCAAAGTGTTCTGTGAAAATCAACCCAAGACACCGACAGAACAAGAGAAATAGATCCAGCTAACCAGAGCCTGAGCTCTCTGTTGCTTTCTTTGGGGTCCCTTGCATTGGGCATGACTGGGGGTTCCTGATTCCCATGCAGCCTTCCCTTCCCTGCAGGAGGGCAGGGCTGGTGTGGGGGATTTTGGGAAGGAGATGCTTGTAGGCATTGCCAGGTGTAGCTTTACCCAGTCACCTGGGGAGTGTTGCTGCCATTAGGGCACCTCATCCTTTGTAAAGCCAACGGAATATCCAGCAGGAAAAGGCCCCAGGAGGTGCTGGGGTGTCCTCTGTGTGACATGGGGCAGGGGCAGTACGGCACTGGGTGCTGCTGCGTACCACCACGGGGGAACCCTTCCTTCCTCCATGACCCCCAGAGCTGTGCTCCTGCTCTCCCACCCCTCTGGCACCAAGGACACAGACAGCAGAGAGGTGGTCCCTGGGGAGGGCAGGCTGTGGTGTACCCCGAAGCACCAACCCTCCACATTTGGAATGGCACAGGGAGCAAATCCAGCCCCTTCCCCACCCACTGCATCAGTGGTGGAGTTTGCTGTCCCCTCAGAGGACAGAAAGGAATGACTCCTGTCTTGTCCCTGGGGTAACCGCAAGCTCCCAGCACCACCCCAGTCATAGTCCATGGTGGCATCAGGAGGGCACCGAGCTGGTGATGGGCACCAGCATCACTCATGCTGTATTGGTGATTCCTTCAGCACTCACTCCTCACCTCCCCAGGGCTGCTGAGTAAGGAGGGGAGGCCTAGGCCCTCACCCTATGTATCACATTAGTTAAATGTTTATCTTGACCATCAGAAATAAATATTTCTCCTTTTGACGGAACAGGCAGAACAGTGTTTTGCCCGTTCAGCTCCCAACAGGCTGCGACTCCCCTCCACAGGCCCCAGACTTCCAAAGAACATTTCCACATCCCAAAGGTCTCATGTCCTAGAAAGTGAATCATCCCACTAAAGCGTCTGGCCTCTTTCTCTCATTCTGCTAATGCTTCCTCACGTTTTGCATTCATTCCTATCATCAAAAAACACCTTTACATGGAAAATGTTCCACTTTCCTGGAGGAAAGAAACATTCCAGAGGTCACTAAGCCATCCAAGTTTGTGTCTCTGCACTGACTTGGAAAGAGAAGTTTAAACAGGACAGGAAATAAAATGTGAGAAAGCAGCTCATGCCTATACCCACTTCAATGCCTTCCTGCTAAACCAGCACTCTGGATTGAGTCCTGGAAATAATTCCCACCTCCACCCTTTCTCAGAAGCCTAAATCCAAGGATTGTATGAGCTGATACCATGATAAAGTCCAGCAAAACCTTTTCCTTCAGGAACAGAGCACAAAGGATGTTCCTAATTGTTTTTCCCCAAGAGCTAATTCCTTCTGAGCTGCTCCTTGGTGAAAACTACTCATGCAACACATGGCTCTTTCCAGAAACATTCTCTTGTCTCGTTCACTCTGGAATGGGACATTAAGCAGAGCCTCCTGGAGCAAGTTTCTCACAGAGGGAGCAATGATACTCCCCAAAGCACAGCATATCATCCAGACATTCCCCCTCTTCCAGGGGGTAGGCACGGAGATGGTTCAGCTATCAGCACTGGGAGCTCTGGAACACTGACAGTGGTTGATCCCTGTGGAGGCATCCCCCTTTTTTCCACACCACATCCATGTTCTATGACTTTCCTGCACCCAACATACGTGTGTATCCCCTTCCCTGCTCCTTCAACACACCTGCTCCAAACTTTTCAACCCTCATCATGCAGACGGAAAGGGAAGGAGAGGCCAATGGCTTTACTGGGAATAGCTGGTACCCACAACCCCCTCAGCATCTGAGATTTATTGGGAACATCTGGAACCCACAACCTCCTCAGCATCTGAGATTTATCTGGAGTATCTGGGACCCACAATCATCTCAGCACCTGGAATTTATGGGGAATACCTGAGACCCACACTCAGCATCAATGGTGACCAAGTGCCCATGGGCTCGGGATGCCCCGGGGGGTGCCAGTGCCAGGGGGAGCAGAGAGCCCCGAGTAGCCACTGACACATCGTGCCACCTGTCCTTGCCCCCATGGTCGGGTCGGGGCCGCTTGGGTGTCACTCGACAGTGCCAAAACTTGAGCCATTTGTGCCCAGTTTGTACCCAGTTTGTGCCTGTGTCACCTCTCACCGCAGCTAGATGGAGCTATCCCGGCCGGAGCTCACCCCATTCCCTTCTCCCGCAGCAATCCCTGCTCCTCTCCAGCTCACCCCATCCCATCATCCTGCAGCAATCCCTGCTCCTGCCCCACTCATCTCATCCCTTTCTCCTGCAGCAATCCCTGCTCCTCACCCCATCCCATCATCCCGCAGCAATCCCTGCTCCTCTCCAGCTCACCCCATCCCATTATCCTGCAGCAATCCCTGCTCCTGCCCCCCTCATCTCATCCCTTTCTCCTGCAGCAATCCCTGCTCCTCTCCAGCTCACCCCATCCCATTATCCTGCAGCAATCCCTGCTCCTGCCCCCCTCATCTCATCCCTTTCTCCTGCAGCAATCCCTGCTCCTCTCCAGCTCACCCCATCCCATTATCCTGCAGCAATCCCTGCTCCTGCCCCCCTCATCTCATCCCTTTCTCCTGCAGCAATCCCTGCTCCTCTCCAGCTCACCCCATCCCATTATCCTGCAGCAATCCCTGCTCCTGCCCCGCTATCCGAAGGGCTTTGGAATGCTTTTCCCCTCGTTTTCCAGCCGTTCGCTGGGAAGGAGCTGTTGCAGTCACATCCAGGAGAGTGGCTCCAGCATTTCCACGGGAGCGCAAATCATTTGTAAAGGGAGGAAAGAAGGAAGGAAAATGAGCAGGTTAAAGCATTTCGAGGCAACTTTTCCCGAAGGAGTTCCCGCTGGTTTTTCCTGCCCGCAGGGAATCTCTGTGGTGGAGGGGTCTGCTTTAAAGCGACTTTCCTCGTTAATTCCCAATCCGCTGCGCCCCAAGGAAGGTAGCTGAGCATGGATGCAGAGCCCAGCAGAGGGCACGGCAGCTCCACGGAACACTCGCAGAGCCTCCTGCTCACTCCCCTTCGTCATCGTCACAGGGTTAATCCCTCCTGCAGACTCTCCTTTCTCATCCTCACCGGGATCAGGTGCCTCCTGCCAAACCCCTCCTCATCCTCACCGGGATCGGGTGCCTCCTGCTCACCATCCCAGGACGGTGGAACTATAAGGGATTTTGAGGCTGTTAAGTGATTTTTGAATGTCTCTGACTGGTTTTGTGTGTGCTGGGAACATGTCTGGCTGTGTCCATGGGGTGAGAGTGAGCCGTGCTCATCCAGCATCCTGTAATCTGTGCAGCTGGAGGGGTTTATCCAAAACATAGGATAATCAATGGGAAATGACCAGCTGGTTCTGTTTTGCATGGTGTGGGTGTGCAGAATATTGTGATCTCTAAAACATTGACAAGCAAATTACTAAATCAATTAGGATTTAATTAAATGAAAGCCACCAGCCTAAGCCATTTTCCCTCTGGAATTGTTTTCCTCACATGTACAGGAAAAATTTCCCTTTCTTCCCCAAAAACATGACAAGGAGGAGCTGTGTTGTAACTCCTGGCGTTGACTCCCCAGAGCAGTTTCCTACCAGTCGTATTTCCCAATCTCTGTAGTTTTTGCAGCTGCTGATTCCCTCCATGACTTCAT